GGCAGGCAGAGCGCGCCTGCGCGGGGTTGCTTTGACCCCCGTCACGTGACCACAATTCCCAAGGTGCTGCGGGTGCTGTTCCTTATCTACCCAGAAAGTAGATGGAATGGTGGGGCGGTGCCTCTGCGAAATCCAGCCAATAGGAGCGTGGAACAGAAGTGACGCGCCCTTCTGGTCTTCCAGTAGCGGACCGTGGAAGGTACGTTGAACGCATGCGTCCTTTGGAAGGCTAGAAAAAGGGTCTGCTGGCGGGCTGTGTCGGAAACATGGAGCAAGGCTACGGAGGTAAGTACTGGTTCTTCGGCGCGGTTTGGGAAGGTGCGACCTGGGAGGGGAAACCGCCGCCACGCGGGTTCTGCATCCCTGGGCTTTCGGCTAGAGCGCGGTAGCCGCACAGCGGCTCTGTGGAGAGGTGGCCACGGCGCGCGCGCAGGCCATTGGGGGAACGGCGCCGTGGTCCTCTGGGCGCCGCAAGCGGATTGGCCGGCAGGACCCGAGGGGGCAGACGGGAGTCACCGCTACGGTGCTGTTTGGGGGCTCCTCGGGCTGTCTGGGCCATCACAATCCCGAAAGGTTGGAGGAACTCGGACGGACCCGGCGCTGGCGACCTCGGTGTTCGCTGTCCGCCTTCCTCTTCCGAGGGCTCCACAAAATGGCGGCGCGGGGGGGGCGGAGCCTCAGCGCGCGGCCGGGGTCCGTCGCCGAGGTCCGGGAGTAGGGTGCTCCGTGCTCCCTTTTTGGGTGTTAGCTGGACCCAGGGAACTCGGCGGTGCTCGCGGCTGGCGCACTTGGCCCGGGGCGCCCATCCCGGAAGCCGAGCGTCAGCCCGGTGCGTGCCGGCGGTGGTCTGTAGAGACGACGGCGTAGGACGAGACTGGGCCAGATATTAAGTTTCCCCGTGCGACGTTGGAAACCAGCTGTATTCCGGTTTAGATGACAGACTGGCTGTTGTTCAGGTCGCCCCTTATGGTGGCCTAGAGGAGCTAAGGGGCGGTAGAGGAGGTAACGTGCCCATTTCCCATTTGGCTCCACGGCTTGCTTACCATAGGACCTTCCTACTTCCTGTCTCTGGAGTCCCACCCTTCTTGGAGACCTTGCCCTGTGCTGAAAGCCAAATTTGCCAACGGAACAATTAACATAGGAGGTGGTGCTCCGCAGTAGTAGAACTTGGTGGTCTAATACTGGCTACAGTCCTGGAGAAGGCCTGGACCTCCTTCTTCCTCCCCCATCCCCTTTCCCCTACGGGGATTGAACTCGGGCCTTTCGCACTGAGCTGCTCTCAGTTAAGTTGCCCAGGCTGGACTTAAATTTGGGATCCTCCTACCTCAGCCCCCCAGAGTGCTGACCTTACTGGTGTGCTCCACCATCACATCCCAGCAAGGTCTGGATCTTGAGAAGTGTCAGGATCCCATTTAAGGGGAATTGCTGAGGAAGAGTCCTGCAGTTTGTGGTTGGGTGTCTGTAGAACTCTAGGGAACACACAACCTGGCTCTTCGGGGCTTTCAAAACCTGGCTAAATCTTCCATTCTTTGCCTTCCTACCAGGTATTTTTTGCCAGAACCTTTGTTCTAGAGGGTGGTAGTCCCCCACTTGCTACCTCCTGAAACCTTTTAAGATATTGCTGCCTTCCTGGTTTCTGTCTCAAGAAATGTGAGATTACATGAAAAGATCAGTGCCTTTCATAGAACCCCCAAGGTTGCTTGGTCACTTGTTAGAATATGCTTTCTACTTTTTTACTGTACCATTGGCAAGAGTGTAGCCTTCAAAGGTGATCGGAGGGCTAATGTCAGTCACAGTAGGATCATGGATCAACTTGTGAGCCTTTGTTCTCTCATCTTGAGTAGCAGTCCGGAACATTTGCTGGCTGCTTATTCAGTTAGTGGTGGGAGTCCTGAGGAGGGAGATGAGAATACATCCTGGGCTCATCGAAATAGTCATTTGACATGTGGACAGCTGGGTGCTGGGCTGTAAGGACACCGACATAAAGTGTGGTTTATACTCCTGAGTAGCGGGACAAAAGGGCAGTCTGGTGCCTTAGGGCCAGGCTGAGTGATGAAGACCCAGAGAGTAATTGGAGGGTTTAAAAGTCACATAGAAGTGAAACCCAAAGGGCCGTGGTTTATGTCAGCAAATTCGGAAGTTTGCTCCCAGTTATGGGGTATCTGGTGGCAGTCTGAGCTGGTTTTCCAGCTGTGTGGGCCAGATTGTGGGACCTTGTCCTACATGTGTCATCCTCAGTTGTAGATTGAGGTTTGGGAGCTGGGAGATTCTATGCTAACGCCCCTCAGCAGGTGATGGACGGAACTGATTGCCAAGCCATGTTCCCTCCCCCTTCTGCTTTGAACTCAGCCTGGTGAAATGAGATAATGCAATTAGCCAGAGAGGAGTACCTTTTAGAGAGAAGGCACTGGGTTATGCTGCCTTCTTGTAAGGTGGGCGCTGAGTGCCTGTGAGGAGATCCCTTTAGTGCTGCAGTGCTTCAAAAGCCCCATTCTTAACTATGATGAACAGGATTTTGACACACAGAATCATCTTCTTGCAGGATATGGGGCCTGGAGTGCTGGACCTGCCAACACCCAGGGTAAGAGAGACCTTCGTCATGGATAAGACTCTGGCTTCCCCCACCCAGGGGCCTAGCATGGCAGTTCCAGGCAAAGAGTCAGCAGATTTTTTTCTATACTGGGTCAGATAGTAGATGTCTTCAGCTTTACAGGCCATAGAGTCGCCATAGTACAGAACTAGCCATAGATAGATACAGTATAAAGTGCACAGTGATGTGCAAGGGTGTCTACACTGAAGTTTTTATGCGCACTGAAGTCTAATAGTTTTTTTTTTTTTTTTTTT